CCCCATTGTACATTCTTGCTCTTCCTTGCCTTTGTAAAATAGTTAACAGTCTGCTATGATCTTAGATGTGTGTGTGTGTGTGTGTGTATGTGTGTGTGTGTTTAATCCAAATTGTACATTTGAGAGAAAATGTGGCATTCTTTCTGTGCCTGGCTTTGCAGCCTTTTCAATGGAAGATGCTAATTTCTGATTCACCTCTTTCCTCTTTTTATAAATATAATTACAGCACTTTCCCCAAAATATTATTAATTCTAAAAGTTTATATATTACTGTCCAGTACCTATTAACAAAACAAAACATTTGAATGAAAATATGAATGTTTTTCTTATATTTAATTAGGTCATAAATTCCAGATTGTTTGAAACTATTTGAAATTTGCTTTGTGAAAATTGTATAATCTAAGTTGACATAACATATTTTAGTACATTACCTCTTCATAATATGTGAACAGCATTTCTCCTATCTTTAGGAAAATCTTTATAATTTTCAGTTAATAATTGTGACCATTTACTACAATGAGATAAAAATGGGCATCCCCCACATCTTTGAGAACCTTTGTGTTCATTTCATATGTAAAATGAGTACATATCAATACACACATAATATACAATTTACTGAAAGTCAGTTTTCTTTCTTCTTTTTTTCTTCTTCCAATATCAATATGTGTTAACTTGTATCATGATAATTATAAGACAGAACATGATTTTTTTTTTGTGTGTGTGTGTATGTGTGTGTCTGTGCATGTACTCGCATGTGCACGCATCTGAGTGTGTCTCTATACGTGAATGCTTGTCAGAGGGATAGGAGGCTGACAAATGAATCTAAGGCTTTATGGTATCAGGTTAGTACAGCACTCCTGAGTTAGGTAAAAATTATATCTTCTATGTGATATTCGTTTAATGACACACTTTTAAATAAATGCAAGATTTTGTTTTGCAAGTTAACATATGGTAAAGAGATATTAGCATTACTAATGCAAATAAACATTGCTGTGTTTATGCCAGATAATTTTGAGATTATTCAAAAACATAATACATTTAAGAAAGAGATAATAGGAGTTTATATTAGAAATAACCTGGATGACCAACCAATTTGATGA